GATTTTTTTTTCAAAGGCCTTTTCACCATCTAAAGAGATAATCTTGTATTTTTTTTTTTTTATCTATCAGTCTGTTTATGTGGTGGGTTACATTTATCATTTATGTATTTACATTTATCATTTATTACATTTATACATTTATGTGTGTTGAATCATCCCTGAATTTGTGGGATGAAGTTTACTTAATTATAGTGAATTTTCTTTTTGATGTGTTCTTGGATTCAGTTTGCAAGTGTTTTATTGAGTATTTTTCCACGTATGTTCATAAGGGTAATTGCTAATTCTTCCTTTGTTGGATCTTTATGTGTTTTTTCCATCATGGTAATTATAGCCTCATATAATGAATTAGGCAATATCCCTTCTGTTTCTATTTTGTAGAATAATTTGAGGAGTATTGGCATTAAGACTTGTTTAAAAGTCTGGTAGAATTCTGCACCAAAACCAATTGGCCCTGGGCTTTTGTTTTGTTTGGAGACTTTTAATGACTACTTCTATTTCAGTAGTGTTTATAAGTCTGTTTTAATTGCTTATCAGATCTTTATTTAACTTTGGTAAGTGGTACCTATTGAGAAAATTATCTATTTCTTTTATATCTTCCAATTTGGTGAGTACAGATTTTTATAGTATGCCTTTAAGATTCTCTAGATTTCCTTGATGTCTGCTATCATGTCTCATTCCACTTCTAATTTTGTTAGTTTGGATTTATCATCTTCTTTTAGTTAATTAGATAAGGATTTGTCAATCTTTTTAATTTTCTCAAGGAACCAACTCTTTGTTTCATTGATCTTTTTAATTGTTTTTGTTTATATTTTTTGTTTATATTTTATGATTTCAGCCATGAGTTTGATTATTTATTGCTGCCTACTCTTTTGTGTATGGTTTCTTTTTTTTTGTTTGTTTGTTTGTTTTGATTTTCTTTTTTTGTTCTAGAGTTTTGAGGTGTGCTGTTAAGTTGCTGGTATGAGATCTCTTCAATTTTTTATGTAGGCACATAATGCTATGAACTTGCCCTTTAGACTGTTTTCCTTTAGACTGTTTTCATTGTGTCCCTTAAGTTTGGATATGCTGTGTATTCATTTTCATTAAACTCCAGAAAGTCTTTGATTTCTTTCTTAATTTGTCTGGACATATTTTTTGTTGAGTAGAGGGTTGTTGCATTTCTATGACTTTGTAAGCTCTCTGTTGTTTCTGTTGTTAAAATCCAGCTTTAATCTGTGGTGGTCAGATAGGATGCAGGCTGTTTTTTCAATTTTTTTGTATCTGTTGAGACTTTGTGTCTGAGTCAGTTTTGGAGACAGTTCCATGAGGTGCCAAGAAGAAGGTGTATTCTTTTGTGTTTGGGTGAAATGTTCTGTAAATATCTGTTAGGTCCATTTTATTTATAACTTCGGCTAGCTGCAGTATTTCTCTGTTTAGTTTTTGTCTGCTTGATCTGTCCATTGGTGAGAGTTTGGTACTCTCTGATAGTTTCCCACTATCAGAGTGTGAGTGTCAATATGTGATTTAAATTGTACAAATGTTTCTTTTATAAACTTCAGTGCTCTTGTGTTTGGAGCACGGATGTTAAAAATTGCGACGTGAAGTTATAAAATGAAATCCTCTTGGGGCATTTTTTCTTTGATGAGTATGTACTGTCCTTCACTATCTCTTCTGATTAGTTTTTGCTTGAAGCCTATTTTGTCATTTTAAAGTGGCCACACCAGTTTGTTTTGTAGGTGGTGGCGGTGTATGTGTGCTCACCCTCCTGTGACTTCGTCTAGAAATTGAGGGGAATGGTTTTAATAAGCCAGTCTGAGTCCATGACAGGCTTCAAAAGTGGCCTCAGACCAAACAGGCATGATGTTCTATTTATTTATTTATTTATTATTTATTTATTTATTTATTCAGAAAACAAAACTACAGTCCATGGAAACAAGATATAATAGCTCAACAACCTCCTGGAAAATCAGAAACAATAATTTAGTAACCACCTTGAAAAATCCCCAAGCACTTGATCAATCAAATTAAAGGTTAGTTGGAAAGGCTTTGTTCAGCGAGTCATAATGATACTGTTACCTGGGCACTTTCTGTTAGCACTCTTTGTTACCTGGTCACACCTTGTTACCTGGCTGTTCCATCAAGCCCCCAACTGCAAAACCAAAAAGACACCCCCCCCTTCTCTAGATCAGGACCAACCAATCAGTGAACAGGTTACCTAATCACACTAGGGGAAATCCCCTGTCTTTAAATTAAGTCTGCATGCTCCTTTCAAGGTTGTCATTCTATGGAATGATGGCCGAGCATGCTGGCAATTCCTGCAGAATAAACGCTCCTTGCTTTTGCAGACTACCCGAGTCTGAAGTCTCCTTTCAGCGATTCCTGGACCTACGTGTATTTATTTCCTGTGTTTTCTTGGATGTAGTTAACCTCTTTGGGTTGGAGTTCACCTTCTAGTACTTTGTGGGGAGCTGGATTTGAAAACAGATGTTGCTTAACTTTGGTTTTATCATGGGGTGTCTTCTTGTCTCCATTTATGGTGAATAAAAGTTTTGCTGGTATAGTAGTCTGGGCTGGCATCTGTGGTCTCTAAAGTCTGCAGCACATCTGTCTAGGCCCTTCTGGCTTTTAGGGTCTCCATTGAGAAGTCAGGTATAATTCTAATAGATCGGCGTTTTCCTCTACAGCTTTTTTTTTTTTTTTTTTTTTTTTTAATGGTTTTGTTTGGTTTTGTGACAGGGATTCTCTGTAGTCCTGGGTGCCCTGTAAGTTGCTTTATAGACAAGGCAGGCCATGAACTCACAGAGATCCACTTACCTCTGCCTCCCAAGTTCTGGGATTAAAAGTGTGTACAATCACGGCCCAGCCCATAGTCACAAGTTTTATCAAGGGTCTTGGCTTGATAAATGCACTTTTATATTACTATAAAAAATGTAATGTTCAGTTTTGGGGTGTTTATTTTTATTTTTGTTGTTAAAAATATTAGGCTTTCTTGCAGCTTTTAATATTCTCTATTATTTCTGTACATTTAGTGTTTTGATTTTTATGTGCTAAGGGGACTTTCTTTTCTGGTTCAGTCTGTTTAGTGTTCTGTATGCTTTTTGTACTTTGATAGGCCTCTTTTTTACATTAGGAAAATTCTTCTATCATTTTGTTGAAAATATTTTCTGTGCCTTTGACCTGTATTTTTTCTCCTTCCTCTGTTCTTATTGTTCTTAGATTTGGTCTCTTTCTAGTATCCCAGATTTCCTGGATGTTTTGAACCAGGAGTTTTGTAGATTTAAGATTTTCTTTGACCAACTTATCCATTTCTCCTACCGTGTCTTCAGTGTCTGAGATTCTCTTTTCTATCTCTTGAATTCTGTTGGTGAAGCTTGCCTCTGTGGTTATTGTTCAAGTTCCTCTATTTTTCAGTTTAAGGTGTCCCTCAGTTTGAGTTTTCTTTTCAGGTCTCAAATATTTTTATTATTTCTTTCCACTGTTTCTTTGTGTTTTCATAGATTTCCTTAAGGGATTTATTCCTTTTCTCTTTAAGGACCTCTATCATAATGCATATAGGCTGTGCTTCAGCTAGGTTGGAATATTCAGGGCCTGCTGTGGTTCTAATAGTGTCCTGACATAGTGTCCTGGCTCTCATTGATTGTTTTTACACTATCCTTTAGGCACCTGGGATGGGAAAGACTGTAATTCTGGGTGTTCCCCGCCCCACTCCCTCCCCGGTTTTAAGAATGTTGGCAGCTGTGTGTTGCCTGTAGGAAAAGTCTTGTGGGATCCTGATAGAAGTGGGAATTGGGGGTTCCAGTAAAATGTATTTCTGGGTATTGGGCTGACAAGAATGGGGAAGGGCTGGGCGTGGAGGGGCTTAGAAAAGCAAGGTGTTCCACTAGGTTCTGCTTAGTCTCTTGGAAATGGGGGCAGAGAGTGAGGAGAGGCCACAGTAAAAGGGCTGCTCCAGAGCTGAGGCTGCGGCTGGGAGCTGAACTTGGAGGAAGTTAGAGGTGAGTCCATAGCTACCTTATTTGCTTCCCTGGCAGGAGTGGGTGAGTTCCCAGGGAGTGTGTGCTGGTGGGAAAGGGTGAGCTGGGGAAGAAGGTTTGGTGGGAGAAGTCTCCAAGATTCCCTCGAGATGGGTGCAGAAGAGAAAGGGAGGCTGCAGTGCGGGGTGAGACCGAGGGGTTCCATTTGGAGGAGTGGAGGGGGCCTACCTGGCTTACTGCCCAGTGTGGCCTGCGGGTTCCGGAGCTCGCGAAGCAGACAGGATAGGTCTAGGCAAGGAATGGGGGAGGTTAGGAGGGGAAGACCTGTGGGATACACCAGAGAGGGTGGTGGGAGCCGCTGCAGGTGGGGATGAAACTAGGGATTGGACTGGAGGAATGAAGGAGGTCGCCTACCTGTCGGGGAGGGCCTGATGGGGCTAGGGGCTGCTTCCCTGGCTGGAGTCCGATGGAGCTTTTAAAAACGCTGCTCTACTGTGGAGAGGTGAACTTCCAGCACTGTTGGTTATTTCCCATGAGCCTCAGTTCTTCACCTATAGCAAACGCCAGTCAGCATCCTCCCCCACAGGACTGCCAAGGGGCTATGTGAGCGAAACTGTGCACCTTGGAGCTTAGAAGCACTTACCCAAACCTGATCGATCATTTGGGTCATAGGACTCTTAAAGGCTGTTAAGTTACGGCTCTCTCCTCTAATAACCCCCAAACCTCATTTCTTTAAAAGTGAGCCAAAGTTTTGCTAGTGGTGAAAGAACTCGAGGGTGATTCCTGGGTCTCTAAGAAACTCAGGAGTGCCACCTCCGCTCGCCCTCACCACAGTCACCCCGCCTGTCTTAGCTCTGGGCAGCCCCCGGCGGGGTCTGTGCGGGGGAGATGCGGAGGAGGGCGGTCCAGAGCCGGGGACCCTGGCCTATTGCAGTGTGCGAGCTCCGGGTGTCCAGGGGGCGGGAGGGGCGGAGGGAGGGCGGCGCCCAGCGAAAGGCGCCTTGCTGCGGCGGGCTGCCGAGCCAGGCCAGACGCCACCGGGGCCGGGCTCCCGCGGACCACCCACCTCCCGCTCCGCGCTCCGCCGCCGCCGCCGCCGCGCACCATGCTCCCCGCGGGCCGCGCCGCCTCCCGGCCGCGGCTGCTCGGCCTCTCCCTTGTGCTGCTGCTGCTGCTGCTGCCCGCGCCGTCCAGCGCCTCTGAGAACCCCAAGGTGAAGCAAAAAGCGCTGATCCGGCAGAGGGAGGTGGTAGACCTGGTGAGTGCGAGCGGGTCCCGACCCCGGTGCCGGAGGAGAGGACCCGGCCACGCAGGCCGGGGAGGGCGTCCGGGCAGCTGTTGGTGGTGCTGACGGGAGGGTGCGCGCAGGGCGGCGAGCTTCGGGTCCGGAGAGCCTCGGCGTCCCCCTGTCTGAGCGTGTGCGGGGAAGGCCCCGGGCATGCCTGACGTGGAGTTCTCGCAGCGCCGCGGGAGACCGTAATGCGAGGTCGTCGCACAGGCGCGACGACGCGGTCGGGTGGGGTGTCCCGAGTCCATGCAGTCTCCCAGAAATTTCTGGCCTCGGCGGGCGCCACCCTTGGCAGAGGTGGGGAACGTGGCGGCTGCAGCTGGAGTAGACCGAGGCACTTGGTTGATTTCAAAAGCAGGCCCGAGGAAGACCCTAGACCAGCTGGTCTTCTGGGCCTGGGCCAAGGCTCGCAGCGTGTCCTTTGCTGGGACTGGTGGCCACGTTTGCTTCGAGGAAAGACTAACAACCCCCACGAAGCATTTGTCCAGCTTCTCGTAACTTGAGGATTATGAGTCACTTTGGATCATCTTCCTGGGGAGTATGAACTACAATTTACTCCTTGGAGACCACAGCTTGGGCCAGGACAGGCTCAGAGGGCTTGAAGCTGGGAGGGAAAAGTGAAGGGCCCCAGTAGCAGAACTCCCAAGGACCCAGTTTTGCATGTTCTGTTTAAAGCAGATGTGCAGTCCGATCTTCAGCCTGTGACGAGCTGTGAACACTAACGCCGCTCAGGGGAAAGAAAGCGCTTCCAGGAAAGCAAAGATCCCAAGCTAATCTGTGGGAAAGTCTGTTTGCATAAAACCTTTCCCTCTAAAAGTCAACAAACCTAGTGGAGGGCAGAGAGTTTTTCTGTCCCATGCAAGAACCAGCCATTGGCAGATCTGTAGTCCTTGCACACCATAAACTTCAGTCCTTGAATCTACGTGGCTGTGAGGCGCTGCTGGGCATTACTGAAGAGGATTACTGATTTTTTAAAAAAGATTCTAATTTCTTAGGCTGACATTCTAAGCTGAGCTAACAAACCAAGCTCCTTACAGCGAATTCTAAATTGGAGTCAAAAGCACTGGGGGGGGGGGGGGGGGGGGGGGGGGGGGGGGGGGAATCCCTGCTGTTTCACAGAGCGGTGGTGGGGTTTTGGGTTTTTCTGTTTCTGTTGTTTTCTGCTGATGTATAATTTTACTACGCAAAAGCACACTATGTTGGAGCTACAGTTCTATTTTAAGTATCTAAGTTGTTTAAAAATTGTGCCTCAGGAATGTGGCGCATGTGCGGTTTGCATTTTATGAGTGTGTAGTTAAGATACATAAAACAGACGTTTTCCCCATAAAGCTAATATTTTCCCTCTAACGATTTTACAGTACCTGTGGTTTCCCACAACTCTAACCCAGCTTGGAAAAGCATACTGTGCAGCCAGGTTCAGTTGCATCCTGCAGATTGGATTTGGTCTTGGTGACAGAAAAAGTCCACACAGTCACTTGGGAAGGTTTCCACAGATTCTATAAAGCAACTTTGTATAGGCGCTTTCAAAGCATTCCTTTCACGCTGCCACTGACTTCTGCCCCCTGGTGGCCAGTAAGAGAAATGGGGAGTTGGGAGAGGAAATTTGAACTTCCAACAACTTCTTTGTTGACTTTCACTGACGTGATCTATTGGGACTAGCATTTTAAATCGCGAAAACACGAGCTTGTTCTATGTAACATATTGACAGAAAGGAATTTAACAATATCAGATAATACTAGAGAAATTTACATCAATAAGTGAAATGTTAAAGTAAAAAATTTAACTGGAATGTATTGCGTTTTGCAAGTTCGAGTTAAGGGACACCCCTGTTTCTATGAGAACTAATTCAAGGGTAGGCACATGAATTGACAAAGCTCAAAATATCACCACTGTAGGTCAATGGTAGAACACTTGCCTAATGTGCATGAGGTTTTGAGTTCAATCCCTGTTACTGCAGTGTGAATAAGCAGGCACAGGTGTGTGTGGGTGCATGTGAGTGTGTGAGTGTGTGTGTGTGTGTGTGTGTGTGTGTGTGTGTGTGTGTGTGTTTGAGATGTGGTCTCGTGTGTCCCATCTGTCCTCAAATTTTGCTATGTCAGGAGGATCCTGAACTCTGGACCCTTGGGCCTGTTTCCCAAGAGCAGGAATTCCAGGCATGTGCTACCAACCACTAACTTCAGAGCAAGAATGTATACTCTTATCCCCATTTTATATGTAAGGAGACAGGCTGAGTAAATGACCTGGTCTCACATATCCAAGAAGGGGCGAGGCTAGTATTTAAAAGAAAAAGGAAACGGCTCTAGAATCCATGCATTTAAATGCTACAACATATAGAAACAAACAATAAAACAGAATCCCAGCACTTACAGAATTCCAGCTTGGTAAATTATTACATACTTGTTGAGGACAAGTGGTCCCATGAAATGGGCCACAGACTCCTCTTGGGAAGACAAAGTGAGCTGGAATAGTTCTGCACAGTGCCTCCTCCTCTGCACAAACACAGGAGAAGCAGAGCATTTGTCTGCCCAACTTATACTGCAATACAAGATAATTACTGCACTAAGGCTTTAGTTCATGGTTATTTCCCTAGCAATTATCTTAAGGAAATCATTCAAAAGAAAAAAATCTATATGGATAACTATTGTCATTATATTAATATTTATTTAAAAATAGAAATAAACACACAAAAGCTGAGCATTAAAATGTTTGTATAGCCAGGCACAGTGGCTCCTACCTGTGATCCCAACACCAGGGGAGGCAGAGGCAAGCAGATCTCTGTGAGTTCGAGACCAGCCTGGTCTACAAGTGAGTCCAGGATAGCCAAGGCTACACAGAGAAACCCTATCTTGGAAAAAAAAAATTATATAGAGGCAAGACCTCTATACAATTGTGGTGGAGCACATTTAATCCCAGAACTCAGGAAGTAGAGGCAGGCAGATCTCTGAGTTCAAAGCCAATCAGGAATACAAAGCAAGTAAAGGACAGCAAAAACAAAAAAAAGAAATCAAAAAAAAAAAAAAAAAAAAAAAAAACAGTATAGCAATGTAAAAGTGCATGTATGGAACCCTTGATAATATATGGCTTATTGGCCAGGCAGTGGTGGCACGCCCCTTTAATCCTAGCGCTTGGGAGGCAGGGGCAGGCACATCTCTGTGAGTTTGAGGCCAGCCTGATCTAATAGTTCCACGACAGCCAAGGCTACACAGAGAATGTGTTCTCTTATTTACTTATTTTGTCCTGGGGATCAAACCCTGAGCCTTGTGCATGCTAGGCAAGAGCCCCACCCCTGAGTGACACCCTGTCCCGTGTACTGAGTTTGCATCTTCAGTAATGATGCCTTTTCCCTCTTTCTTTGGCTCTGTAGTATAATGGAATGTGCCTACAAGGACCCGCAGGCGTTCCGGGTAGGGATGGGAGCCCTGGGGCCAACGGCATTCCTGGCACACCTGGGATCCCTGGTCGGGATGGATTCAAAGGAGAGAAGGGGGAGTGCTTACGGGAAAGCTTCGAGGAGTCCTGGACCCCAAACTACAAGCAGTGCTCGTGGAGCTCACTCAACTATGGCATAGATCTTGGGAAAATTGCGGTAAGGAAAGTCTTGATTTTTGTATGACAGGCTTTGGTTTTGTTTTGTTTTGTTTTGTTTTGTTTTGTTTTGTTTTGTTTTGTTTTGTTTTGAGACAGAGTTGTTCTGTTTTAGCCTTGGCTATCCTGGAACTCACTCTGTAGACCAGGCTTGCCTCAAACTCACAGAGATCCCCCGTCTCTGCCTCTGGAGTGCTGGGATTAAAGGTGTGTGCCACCACAGCCCAGCCCTGTGACAGGCTTTTCACATTTTTGGTGACAGAGATCATTTCTCTTTTGTATTTTTTTGTTTTAATACAAAGTATTTTATTCAGATTCTGCCTGTTATTTAAACATGTGACACTGGTGGGCTGCTTTCCCTAGACACCATGAACTATCAAATAAAAACATACGAGATAGGGTACCTCTCTTTGAGTTATTGATCAATGGAGTCTCATAGACCTTCCCCGGATTCCAGACTGTTCCATTGCTCTGGCTTAGCCTCCATAACTTGATGGTTGAATTAAAATGAAAATATTTAATTAAAATGAAAATGTTCAGCTGTTTCCCATTGCTGCAGGAGTGCACATTCACCAAGATGCGCTCCAACAGTGCTCTGCGAGTTCTGTTCAGTGGCTCCCTTCGGCTGAAATGCAGAAACGCATGCTGTCAGCGCTGGTACTTTACATTTAACGGAGCTGAATGCTCAGGGCCTCTTCCCATTGAAGCCATCATCTATCTGGACCAAGGAAGCCCTGAATTAAATTCAACTATTAATATCCATCGTACTTCCTCTGGTATGTACAACTGTGGCGTTGCAGAATGCGCCACAGAGCTGCCTATGGGGGTGTTTGATTTCCTCTCTCGCTGGGAAACTAGTCTGTTATACACTGACCTCTAGAAGCTTATAGTATATGACTCTCCACCCCGGTCTGCAGTTCACAATTGTTGACAGATCTTTTTTCCAAGGGTACCTACACTGGGGTGCCATTTCTGACCAGGTGACTCAGAGTCTCAGGTGGAAGCCTCCAGAAACTGCATCTTAAAAACAAAACAAGTAACAACAAAAGTGCTGGTTGTGATGATGTGCCCAAAACTGAAAGTCAATGACAAGTTAGACTGGCAAACCAGCCAGTGACTCCGTAGAGCAGAGGCTTTGGTTCTGAACCTTGGCTGCACAATGGGCTCACCTGGGAACCTTGAAAAAAAAATGCCTGCCCTGGGTGCTGCTCCCCCAGGAAGACTGAGTCAGTGGGGATTTGACTGTTAAAGGGCATTAAGTGTTTGCCTCAAAGTGAGGCTGATGCCAGCCCCACACTTGTCTGCAGTCTGTTGGCTTCAGGACCAAGTGGACATGTTTCTAGGCTCTAAGGGTCCAGGCCTTGGGGCAACTTGAATATTGCTGGCTTGCATTTTCAGTTAGCATAGTATGGACTGCAGCCTTAATACCAGCCTTAATGAAGTCCTGGTCGCACTGCTTACCTATTCCAGCTATAGAAGAGGTCTGAACCAGTGGCAGGTCCCCATATTCTGACAGCAGTTGCTTTGACAGATGTTGCAGCCAGTGAGGGCAGATAGCTTCAGTTCTGTATTCCGGGGGACTCAGTTGGCCTACACTGACGTCCCCTACGGTGAAACGTGCCAGGGCACCGGAGCACATGAACCTCAAGTGGGAAAGCTGAACAGCCACTGCACTACTTGTATGCCAAGAATCATTTTCTTTAAGGATCTGCCAGCTCCAGCATCCCTTCTCATTCTGTGTAGACATCAAAGGTAATGCATCTCTCTGCCTGTGTTAGTGGCCAACAGTGAAATCTGTCTTTAGATGTGAGTGAAGAATTTTGGTAAGATGAACCGCAAGAAGTGTGTTAGTATGTGAGTGTGCCCAGAGGACATGTGAAGGGCACAGCATCAAAACAAAACAGAACACAAAATAGAGCTTCTTTTCAATTACAATAATTCTATTAAAGGGTCAGTGAGACGGTTTAGCATAGAAGATGCTTACCCCAGATGACCTGGGTTTGGCCCCTGAGACCCACAGGGTGGAAGGAGACCAACTTCTGTAGTAAGTTGTCCCCTAACCTTCACATGTGCACACGCGCCCACACATACAGCCAGACACCACACAGACACATGCATTCTCCATACATAGATGCATGTGTGCATACAGACACACCTCGGTATAATTGTTTTGCAAAATGAAAAAGGAATCTGTGTAAAATGGATTCACACACTGAAGGTCTTCTAAGATTAAGCTAGAAGTTCTTAGCTCATATAAATAAGTCATATAAAAGTCCTATCCTATGTTTAAATAACATCAGATCTACGGAGCAGTGCTGAAAAGAACTCTCTTTAAAAAGACTTGCACATGTTGATTCAGGCTCTGGTTCAGGCCTCTTCCAAAGCTGAAAGTGTAGGCTTTCTGTATGCTTGGGTAAACTGTAACTGGTTTTAAGTAATTAAGCACACTCTGGTTTGAGAACACTGCCTGCTGAGCTAATGTATATGTACCTACTAAGCAAAGAGACCTTTATTATGAAATCCTCATCGAGGATAAACAGAATTGTAAACCTTAGTTCCTGCAGTGAATGCAGCATGATGGTTCTGCTTTTTAAAGAGCTGTGATTGGCTCTGTTGCAGTGGAAGGACTCTGCGAAGGGATTGGCGCTGGACTGGTAGATGTGGCCATCTGGGTGGGCACTTGTTCCGACTACCCCAAAGGAGACGCTTCTACTGGATGGAACTCCGTGTCTCGCATCATAATTGAAGAACTACCAAAATAAAGCCTCTGAGGTTTTCACGCCCTACCTCCTTTATTCTAAGAATCAAGCCTTTGAATGGTTCATTTAAACGACAGTTAAAATGTCACTTTATGTACCTAGCTGAACGAAAAAGCGCAGTTAAATATGTTTACAGACCAAAGTGTGATCTCACACTTTAAAATCTAGAAATATCCATTTTATTTCAACAAAAGGTGATTTCAGGATTTTTTTCTTCATTGATTACTTTTTTCATGTTTCTTTTCTTTGAATCTATATATTGGAATGTCGTTATGGTCCTTAGTATTTCCAGTCATCAACATTTTAACGCATACAAAAGTTATGTTTTTGTAAGAGTTGTACAGAATTATTTTATATGTATTAAATAAAATGCTTCAAACAACCTTAGTATTCTTTGTTTGTTTGTTTGTTTGTGTAGGCTGAAATTCGTGGCTGTCCGAAATTAGAATTGTAGACCAGGCTATCCTCAAAATCAGAGATTTGCTTATCTATACCTCCCAAGTGACTGAAGGTGTGTACCACCATGACTGGCAAATTTAGTATTTTTAAACTGAAGATTTTGCCACTGAGCTTCAATTTCCAATACTTAACATATGAGAAGTTAAACATAAATCTAAATTTTAAGTGTTCATTTGACAGTTTATGAAATCTTAGCATATGTATAACATGAGTATGCATCTTGAGGGATATGAGGCATAAGGCTATTTACATGTCAGGAATGGAACATTATTTTAGGAATTTTTATTTTAATGTTTCAAAAAGTAAAAGCACATGGCTCTGTCCTTACACTGCTTACCATTTTGTAGAAAGGATAAGATATACACAAAAATGAGACAGTTGAATGATGTGGTATAGTGCAGAGTGGAAGTAATTCCTTGAATCAAGGTGATCAGAAAGCATTCACCAGAGTCAGGGTAAGAGTGAGGAAGATGAAGCTCTAAGCTTCAGTTGGCAATGCCAGCAGGAACTCATGTTTTATTTTCAACACAGGCCTAGGAACAATGGCCAGCTCAGTGATCCTCAGACTGTGACAGCTAAAATAGGAAGGCTGTGTAAAAAATGAGTGATTTTAGCTCTTGGGCAGGAAATGTACACCTTACTTTGGAAAACAGGACAACTGTGAAAGATGTATCAAAAGGACCCAAGGGGGCAGCTTTCCTACTGGCAAAGATGACATGAGTATCAATAAACATAATAGCTGTAATAGTTTGAAACATATCAACCAACATGATATAGTAAGATAACACACGTGAGTTCATGATATGCTAAAATAAAAATTCATTGGTGAAATTGTGGGATGTCAACAAATAAACTTTCATTGAAAACTGGAAAATAGAGTCTGCCTTCTTTCTATGAATTATGCTTCTGAGTAACCAAATCATTTATGAATGAAATAATTACTCTTTTTAAAAGTATGTAGAGTCCAGTGAGGAGGCCCATCGTACAAACGTGTTTGCCACCGAGGCTGATGATGTCAGTTCAGTCTCCAGGACCCACAACGTGGAGGCAAAACCAACTTCTGAAAGTTGTCCTTTGAGCTCTACACATTCACCATGGCACACATGTACCCCCACATACATACATGTACACAAAATAAGTAAATAAATAAATGTAACAAAAAGTATACAAAGTCACGTCTTTAAATATAAAGGTGGTATATTATTGTAAAAGTATTGTATATTAATACTTAACAAATAAAGAATACTAACGTTAGACTACGACCCTTCTTCAACCCTTTATAAATTAGGGTATCTATAAGTGGATTTATGGCTTACAGCATCCCCCAAAGAGAGACCAGACTAAGTACCTCCTAAGAAAGTCATAGGACACCAGATAGAAGAACTTTTTACAGTGGTCAAACATGGATTCAAGTTAGCATGTAGATATGACTATTATTGATAAAAACACAGGGGATAAAAGATACAGCAATAGAGATATAAAAAGCAAAATACAGACTATAGGAGGCTTGAGAGACAATTTGATTTCTTCAACAAACTGCAATAAAGAGAAAGAAAAATAGTAAAAGAGGCATAAGTTCATATCAACCTACTGCAAAGTTTGTACTCAGACACTGATTCAAGAAAACTATAAGCACAACACCAGGTCAAGTTTTCCTTAAGATAGTTGACATCTAAACACTGATAGCATAAATACTTTTTAGGTATGCTGTTATTAGAGTTAATTTAAAATAGTGCTCAGTCTTTAGAGATACTGAAACATTGAAGATAATGTGAATCTGTGTGTTGTGGTCTGAATGAGAACGCCCCCCCCCCCCCCCCCGCTCATGTATTTGAAAACCTGGTCCCCAGCTGGTGGTATTGTTGGAAGAAATTCCAGACCTTAGGATGTGGAGTCTTGCTGGAGGAAGCATGTCACTGCGGGGGGCAAGATTGAGAGCTTATAAATTCAATCCAGGTCCAGTTTGGTTTTGCTTCTTATGTGTAGTTGAGACATGATCTCTCAATTCCTGTTCCTGCTACAGCGTCCCCAGCATTGGGACATCTTGCCCTCTGGAACTATAAGCCAAAATAAACTCTTAAACTTTTCCATGTCTGTGGAATTGTATCACAGCAACAACGAGAAAAGTAACTAATAGATCATGTCTGGAGTCAATTTCAAAATAAGCTGGGGAGAAATGAGGCAGTCTAGACAGAACAATATTAAAGACAGGCATTAATTAACATAGGTAAAATTTTTGACCAAAGAAGGGTGTGCTGTCCAGTTTTATGTTAACTTGACGCAAGCTAGAGAGCAGGAAGCCTCAATTGAGAAAACACCTCCATATGATCAGGCTGTGAGCCTGTAGAGCATTTTCTTAATTACTGATCGATGGGGGAGGGCCCAGGGCATTGTGGGTGGGGACACCCCTCCACTGGTGGTCCTGGGTTCTATTAGGAAGCAGGCTGAGCAGGCCTTGAGGAGCAAGCCAGTAAGCAGCACCCCTCCATGGTCTCTGCATCAGCTCCTATCTCCAGGCTTCTGCCCTGTGTGAGTTCCTGCCTTGGTTTCCCTAAGTAGCCTGTGACTCTGGATATGTAAGCTTCTCAACTTGCTTTTGGTCATGGTGTTTCATTAAAACAATAGTAACCCTAAGACAAAAAAAAAAAAAAAAGGATTAAAAACATTTTGAGCAAGAACAAGAACATTAAGTGAAGGCTCTTGGATAAGAAATAGATGATGTTCAGGTGTTCCAGGATATTTGATTACCCAGTGAACCCCAAGATTGTGTACTGGAAAAACCTGTTTCTAGTTGTGCTGTAGCTCAGTCTAGATCCTAGAATTTTCTGTTTACTGTAAACTAGTATTAGTGGTGTTGCTCAGCCATAGTTGCACATCTTTAACTGAAGAGCTTTCTGTAAACAAGATTAAATAAAGTTAACCGTATATCAAGAGGCAGAGCAAGCAAGCATGTGACAAGAAGTGACCATGGGGGAGAGGGGAACACACAGAATGAGAGGAAGGAAGCCCAGAGAATGGATAGAGAGAGGCACAGGAAGTAGAAAGGAGGGACACTGAGCTGCAGTGTATTTAAGACAGTATGGAGAACAGGCTTTTTCCTTCTGGGATGTCAGCTGGGTAGGAAGGTCAGCTGGGTGCTTTCTCTGCCTCTTTGAGCTAGTAGGCTTTGCTCCCAGAATCTGGCTCATGAGTCTTCATTAGTAAAATCAAACATTTGGGATTTTCTTTCTTTAAAACAATATTCAGGGACTGATATGCATGTTATAGGAACTGTAAGAGGGTAAGTTGGCAAAGGAGGCTGAGAAAACACCGTGGTGGTAAAAAAAAAAAACACCAGTTATCCTAGGGTAACAGAGAGCTACCAGATCAGGAAAAGAGAATTTAAGTAAGATGACATAAGGAACAAAAAGAAATAGGTATTTGTATTGAGCCTGTAAGACAGCAAAGCTGTCAGGAGCAAAGTTAAGAGACATTTTTGGTGACAGTGACTGGGCAATGCCACTAAGACATTGAGAGCTTGTAAGACAGCAGAGCTGTCAAGGATAGATAAGAAGATATTCGTAGTAATAGTAACTAAGAACGCTCTTAAGGCAGCTGACGTGTGTGTGCGTGCATGTGAAAAAACGATAAGCCAAGCGATGCCCCCAAAAAGTGTATAAAAATGCAGCCCGAGCCCACTCAAGTGCGGCAGGCCAGACTCTTTGGTGAGTACACCGAGAGACCGCCATTAAACAGCCAATTCCCAAACGGCTGTTTGAAAAGCCCAGACCACCTTAACAAACTGGTTCTGAAAGGACCACCTTACCAGACTGGCCCTGGAAGGCGGCTCCAGAGCAACCCATCTTCCTTTGCATCTGAGGCCTGGCCAGAGCAGAGAAGCTCCGAGGCCTGTCAAGTCATCAGAAGACACGTCTGAGGTCCAGCTGGAACTTCGAAGTTCCGGGACCTAGAAGACACCCGACACCAGAGGCAAAGTGTCTGAGCCCGTACCTGCGGCCAGGTTGTATTCCCCATAGGATGTATAATGTGCTATACAACTCTTAGATATCTGTGTGATTAGTATGATTAGAGCAACATTCAAAAATCATTCTGGTGTTGGCTTTTATCAATACCTTGCTGCCCTTTGTGGTGTCTCGGTTAAAGTCCTCCGACATAATCAAGCGCTCGTGACATATCTCTAAAAGAGAATAGGTATTTCTCTGAAGCAGCCCCACAAATTCGTGGAAAGATTCTTGGTGCCACTAGTCATTAGCTATATTCAACTTAAAACAACATGGTTAACACTTCAGACCCATTAGAAGGTCTAATTAAAAACAGAAATGGTGTAAGAAGGATGTGGACAAAGTCAAACTTCAGTAGGGAGCTGGTGGCAATGTGTAGTGTTTACAGAAAGGAGTTTGGTGGCTCTTCACTAGGTTACAGGTAGATTTGACTCAGCCTTTATACTCCTATGTACATATTCAAAAGAAAAGGTGTATAGACAAAAACTTAAACATGAATGCTTACCACAGCTCTACTCAAAATGGTGAAAAGTGGAAACAACCCAAATATCCATCTGTAGGCTTAGATTTTTCAAACACCTACTTTATTTAAGGTTCTTAAACACCTCTCCCTCCCTTCCCACACCCCCACCTTAGGTAGGAGATTAGTAGGAAAAGGGGCTACAGACCTCTTTTTTCTACTTCCTGCTGAAAAAGCTCAATGGGTTCTTTGGGGACACCAGCAGTCTAGTCAAACAGCAGAGCATTAGCCACCAAACGATTGGCCAATTCAGTAGAAGCAGCAACTCCACGCTCCGACCGAAGGACACAAGTCTGCCAGAGCAGCAGGTCTCCTCAAAGCAGCAGGAGAGCCTCTGTGGAGTGTTTTTT